GGGAGATAAGGGTGGCATTTCACCGTTGATATTATGTGGTTATAAGGGTGGCTATAGGAGCGATAAGGGTGGCAATAAGAGCGATAAGGGTGGCTATTGATATTGTCTGGGCGGAGCGATAAGGGTGGCTATAGGAGCGATAAGGTTGGCTATTGTCAGGGACGATATGTGATGGTGTGGGGTTGTGGTGTTGATGATTTTTATTTGATGTTGTGATTTTCTTGTGTTTATGTTTATACCTTGTGCAACTTATCTTGTTGTTAGTAAATTGATAATAATCTGATTTATGTTGAAATTGGGAGCCTGCGGCTATTGCCAGGCGGTTTATAAAGTGAAATGTGGGCATGAGGTGCCGTGATTTGTGATATGAAATGGGGATATGGGCACGTGAATTATCCGTGCAGTTGTGATATGAAATGTGGGCACGAGGTGCTGTGATGAAATAATAATGATATTTGGCACGTGAATTATCCATGCAGTTGTGATATGAAATGAGGGCACGAGGTACCAGGCAAATATGATGATTTAATTATGGGCACGAGGTGCCGTGAAAATATAAAAATGGGCTAAGACCCATATTTTCGAAAAATATGAAAATGGGCTAAGACCCGTATTTTGATGATTATGAAATGAGGTATCACATGGTGACTTTTTAATTGAAAGAATTATATTCAAAATATTTATTTGGAAGGATTTTTACTTAGAAAGTATTATATAAAAGAATTGTATTTGAATGATATTTATTTGAGGAAATTGTATTTGAAAAGATTTATTGAAATAATTATATTTGAAAAATAATTATTTGAGAAAATTATATTTGAAAGAGAGTTATCTGGAAGAACTATGTGAAAGACATTTATTTGAAGGGCTTGATTTAATTGGGTGTAATTGTGTTTATTAATTATTGAGTGATATTAATGGTATTCTTGTTGTCGGTTGTACATATCACTGGTTGCTTTATCCTGTCCTTATTATTATTTGTCTTCTATTATTTTATATATTATATTGCACAGGTTATTAGACTAGTGAGTGTCTTGACTGTACCTCGTCTCTACTCCATTGAGGTTAGTCTTGATACTTACTGGGCACCGCTGTGGTGTGCTCACTCTACACTTCTGCACATTTTGTGCAGAGCCAGGTATTGGAGATATCGGACTTGAGCAGAGTTAAAGCACGATCATAAGGATTCAAGGTAGAGCTGCTTGGTCGTCGCAGTCCCTTGGAGCCTTTTCATTTTATTGTACTGTTAAATTGTAACCAAACAGTATTGTATATTCGGTCCTCGTGATCATTCCATATATTCAGTTAGAGTTCGTGACTCAGTACTACCAGTCTTGGGAGGTTGTATATTCATACTTATTCCGCCGTTAGTTTTGGTTACTTATTTAATTCAAAAAAAATGGCTTTAAAATGTAATTGAAATCGGCTTACCTAGTCTCCTAAAATTCCATTCCGCGCGTATCAACCTCCGAACGCCTTCATATCTCCTCAATTCCAAGACAAACGATTAGAAACTAGTCAAACAACGTGCAAATAAATCAAAATATACTCCAATGCTTGCAATTTAACAATTTATAAAAATTCTTAATTCCGCTTGAAAAATCGTCAATGGGGCCCACGTCTCGGAACTCGACGAAACTCATAAAATCTGACAACTCATTCAATTACGAGTCCAACTAAATCAAAATAACTCAAATTCGACCACAACTCGGCCTTCAAATCCTCATTTTTGTTTATAAAATTTTCTACTATTTTCGACCCAAATTCAAACATAGGAGCATATCTCGAGGTTTTACGTCTCAAATCATAAATCTACAGGTGAAAGACTTTTTTTTAAAAATATCAAAATCCAGCTCGTTGTTCAATTAGAAATCTCATATTTGATTACACGTCAAAAGAATAATAATTATGTCATAAAATAGTTTAATACCTTGAATGAAAATTAACTACAATTGTAGTTTGCGATTGTTGGGCATACTGTTGCTTCGTCTGAAAACCACGAATTGGAGGACATTTAGTCTGCCTTGAATCTCGAGAAAACAAGGTTGAAAAGCTTTGTAATCGATTCAATGGTCTTTGGAATACCACCGTCAGAAGCTCCCTTTAACTTTTCCCATCATTATCATATTCTCCTTTAACACTTATAAAGCTTCCCTAATTGGGATTACTATTACTGCCAGCAAAAAGGGTGGGCTTGACCCTTAATTCTCTTCCTAAATTATTGTCTAAAGTTACCAAAGTCCAAATACGGAACTACAGATGGCCCAATAATCCCTACTTACTTTCTTAACTCTCTTCTTTGTCCCATACTACGTAAATGTAAATATTAACAAAATGACTACAAATATACGTATAGGTAAACTATAAAAATAAAGAAACTATAATTAATGAGATAATTCAAAAGTTCATAAAAAAAATATATATATACATATATATATATATATATCGGATCGTTACAGTTGCGGAGAGTAGCATAAAAAATTATTTTTCTAAAAATATTTTACTCTCTAACCAAACACTAGAAAATATTTTCTTTCGTACCAAACACACCCATAGCTTCAATTTTCAAACATGACAAAGCCAAATTCAGACTTGTCCCTCTAGCATAACAACTTGTATAATCAAATCATGTCATTTTTCCTTATAGTATAATTTATTACCATTATTTTATGTCTTGATCTTCCATGTGATTAAAGAAGCTATTACAATCGTCCTAGCAAAATTTGATATTAAATTTCAGAAGGGGTGACCTTCCACCACACGCTACTTCGTGCATGCACTAAATCTCCCAATATTCAGCAAACCAACTTCACTTAATATGAAAATAAGGGGCATGCAAAGCTGCCAAAACCTGGCTAAATAAATCTTGAATTACAAAACTATGAAGTAAGTAAATTATCACCCCAACTGCAACCATATTAAAACAAAAGGGCCTAAATTTTATATGATATGATAGCAGCTAATATAATTATCTGGAAATTAACAAAACACTAAGGGTGTGTTTGGTATGGACGAAAATATTTTTCTTGAAAATGTTTTCCTGAAAAACGAGTAGTTTTATCACTTATTTTCTCATGTTTGGTTAATAAGTGGAAAACCTTTTCCAAAATATATTTTTTTAATATTTAGTTAGTGTGTAAAAAATATTTTTTAGGAAATATATAATTTAGGCAAATACTATAGGTGGGGTGGAGGGGAGAGGAGGGGGT